TATCTGTATGATAAATCGAAACAAAAAGAAATATTGTTATCGATATCTCAAGGTATATATAAAAAATATACCTCAACCTTTTTTCCATCTTCTAAAGCCAATCTCCAACTTCCAATCCTCCCGGTCGTCCCATCTGCACAATTCTCAAGCATTATTTCCATCCGTCGAACTCGAATGTTGCATAAAGAAACGTTATTAAACTCCTTCAGAAGCTATTGTACTCCCATGAAGCTTCAAAGTGGAGACCCCCTCGAAACGGAAGACGCCATTGTGCAACGGCGCGGTACATTTTTCGGCCGCTGCACGTTGCAAGAGGCGACAACCGGAAGAGAAAACAGACTAGAGGTGTGGTGCATACACGCGTATTGCGTGAGTATATTAGGAATACACACGAGTAGCTTATTTAATTGGGACCTCCACGGACGTGTGCCATATGCGGCGTCTTCGAGAGCCCCCAAGGCCTCCCCTGGGGACCACGTAGACGTGGCACTAGCTCTCCAAAAGGACTCGCGTTCGATGGCACTGAACCGTGAAAATTTAATGTCCAGTTTCTTCTTGAGGGCAAAGGGGGGTGTACTGTTACCGCGCAACATGGCGGAAGTTGGATATATCCAGACGTTCGATGAGTTTTGAGCTGGAGGAAGAAGCCAGCTGGGCGGGGATCCGTGGGTGGTCTATGGTCGCGTCGTTTGCTCTATAAACTCGGCGAAGTTAGATCGTGCGATCCTTAAAATAAGGATTGCTTTAATTTAAATTATGCGACATAACGAATCAAGAGATTAGAAACAAGAGAGTTGTCCTTGATCTTTGAATTTAATTATCTGGGAGAGTAAAATATAATTAGGATATGCTTATGATGCGCAGAGTTGAAGGAAAAAAGATCTTTCTTTTTTTATTAACTTTGATTTGTGATTTTGTACAGTAGATATGATGAATAGATAAAAAGAGCCGCGTAAATTTTGTAAATTGGGATTTTGGGATTTATAAGAATGATTTTAATCTCATGATTAATTATTTGATTATTATGTAAAAAATAGAATAGAATATTGATATGTACATATTTCGAGATAATGAGGATCAAAAAATATCTATCTACCGATTTTGAAGAAAACAGAGGGACTATGGTTAAACATCGAATAATTTTATGCTCATGTACTCACTCGATACTATTTAGATAACGTTCCATAATTTGTAACGATGATGGGGAAAATAGTGTAGGAAGATTGAAAGAGATTGCTCTACGATAGATATTATTGGCATGCCTGGTCCGCCATTCGATGCAAATTTTTTTCGACATGCATAAGCATCTATGTGCAACACTGTAATCTATGGGATGGGCACTTCCTCTTTCAAATCATTAACATTATTCTCAAGGGTGTCGTAATCGCCCCTAATCGAAAAATTCAATTCCACATAGATTTTTTACAAGATTAAACGTCCCTAAATCTTATTCATTGATGGTGTTACAATAATATCTAATAATAAAAAATTTATCCTATATCCTATTTAGAATTACCATAATTTATACATATTTATACCATTATTGACGAGAATGATGCAATCATTATTAATGAAAAAGGATTTCATTAAAATTCTATACTTTTTACCAGGATTTAAACAAGATTGAAAGATTACTTGCAATTATTTGTAATAAAAAAATTATTATATATTTCCTATATATTTAAATGTACATTATAATGTACATAATAATACAAAATAATGTAAGTGCAAGATTACCATAATTATTCTCAATCGAAAAGTTAACTCTTTAATTTATATAGAATTTTATCAATATTATCAATTTATCAATATTATCCTAATAAATTTTGTCATTTTTTATGCACATTTAATAACATATTAGATACTTTTCATTTTAATATTATTATGTATTTATAATAAAATCGACTAAGTTGTAACATTTTTTATTTCCTTTATTCCACTTGATTTTAAAAAACTTAGTTTACGATATTTATGTATTGTCAATTTTATTATCAATATTATTAGTATGAAACGAAAAATAAATATTACCTCAATCGATTTACTATTCTCCATTTTCTTGGACCACAAAAGCTTCACAATCTTTCTTCGTATACTTTTTCCTTCTTTCCTTACTAAGATCCTTATCCCGAGATCAAGTGCACGTCGCGTGAAATGATTCCTCGACAGGAAGAAAGGACCTCTTGTTCGCGGAGCGGCAGTATTCCACAGTAAATTTTATTGTTCGTGGAGAAGACGCGCGATTCACGTTGTCCAGCATCCCGAGGAGCAAATAAAATAGCTTATCATCTAAAGAATTCGCATGGCTGATGAAACCTTTCTCAAACCAGTTGTCTTCTTCAACAATACGATTATAATGTTAGTATCTGTTTGTGTAAAATATCTTGGGACCAGTATCTATCACTTTGCAGATAGATAGGTGCTGTAACTCCATTTTCGAACACGATACTTTCTATTGTATACATTCTTAGATAGCATTGTTGTAATATACATAATATATATATATTACAAGGATTATAAATAAAATATTTAACTTAAATATATATTATTCAATGTAATTTATTTTATTGTTATTCCATAGTTATAAGATTTATTATATTTTTAATATTTTTAAAAACCTTTTCTTTTAATTATTCGATTATTTTAAAGAAAAATCTTCAGAAAAAATTGCATTTATAATAAATATTTATTTTATTATTTAATTATATCCAATAATTTTTACTTCAAATATATCCAGTATTGATTAATATACAAAGTCAATGAACAACAAAAAAAAATTATCAAGAATAGATAAAAATATTCTGAAAAATATAAACAAAGGGAAACACGGGGTGAAAAATCTTGTGAATGCAATAGGTTTCTTAGAACACTAGTAAAATATTGCGGTCGCGAACCTTCGCCAAGCGACGACGTCGGAATACTTCTTCTAATATCTTCTGCTTAGAAAAGAATCTGTCTGTGGTTCGAATAGATGCACGAGTAGGAGAAACAAGCTGCCATTCCCACGGCAAGATGTTGCGACCACTTTCGCTATTATCCAACATTATCCAATGTATTGCGAAACCTATAATAGATTCGTGTCTGTGAGATATTTTCAATCGGATGTTATATAGTGAAATTAGAAATCTTCTTGAATCTTCTTAAGTAAATAAAATTAAATAAATAATACAATATAACTTCTCTCCATTATTTAACATTATTTAATTTTGATTGATCAATTTAAAATCGAGATTTTTTTATCCTTTTAAAGAATAATAATTTAATTCAAATTTTATCTGAAATTATCTTGAAATTTTCAAAATAGAATACGCGCTTCTAGTGCAAAATTGTAAGAAAACAGACGATTGACAAACATTTTGATATGTTGACATATATAATGAGTCAACACATGTCATATTTAATTATAAAACATCCATAAACTCAGATAATTGATAATAATGTTTGTCGATTCGATTTACCATACAAAGTTATGTCTAACAATATCTATTTTTCCAATTCATAAAGCATCGATATGATTAGAATCGAGGAAGAAACAATCGTCTAGAATTAAATTCTCAGATCCTGTCACAGAAATCGAACGATGATTATTTTATTGGATCACAATAATAATTCATAGCTGAAATAAAAGAATCAAATTAATAAATTTTATGCACCATCGTTGTAACGCGCCATGGCATCTCATGCACAATGTACACATACAGTATACGTACCTGTGGCGAAATTGCACGCGTTTCATTTCACCTGCGCCCTTAAATGTAAGAAACAATTCCGCCGGTTTTCTTAACCCCCATCGTAAACCGTAATAGCAGCATGTTTCGCCACGGTGCACCTGAAGGGAACACCGCCACGGCCACCGCGTCTCCAACACCTGTTCCCGACACCTGACACGTTAAGCCTCGCTTCTCCGCAGGGGATCACTAGCTCGACAAAGGAGACCATCATCAATTGTCCTTCTCTTGAAAAAATTATTGTGGAAAAATTCGTCTTGATCGTCGTTATGTTTTACCATTTAGATCATAGGTCAGTTATTGTCCATCATATGATATAGCAAATGCAAACCAAACCATTGAATCTATTATATATATATATTCTCTGTTTCTGATTAGGAAAAAGAGGCAGATTCGATAAAAAAATTCGATATTTTATAATTCAATTCGTAAATTAATTATTTTGATAGTGCAAATTGATAAGAGACATAATGGTCTCTTCTTGAAAATGGGACACATTTCAAGAATCAAAATGCAATCGATGCTTAAGATCATAGCTTTAAAATGCGTGATTAACATAGATCAATATAAAGATTCTAGTTGATCAATAGATGTTGAGTTATCTCTATTTTTTCTAATATTATTCTAATAATATGGAAAATATGATGAAATGATTCAAAAAATATTGTAGTTAAATAGATAAAGATATTTTTGGATTTTTTTATGATATAATATCGCTAATTATTTAGAGCATAGATATTTGTGAAAATAAGATCAATTTGTCTTGACATCAGCTGTAATGTCATAAAATAAAAAATATAATATCATTTGAACCAATTAAAGTGATATTGATTTTTTATAAAAAAAAATATTTTTTGGCAATTTCAAATATATAAGTGATTTAAAACATTTTATATATGTCTATTATATCTTATATTTTGCATTTACAGATGCAAATTGTGAAAATTTTTATTTCACATAAAAATCACATTTATTAAACTGTTAATTATAAATATTATTTTATTTTTACATTTCATATATATTTATTTAAAAATAATAGAGAAACAAATTTAATTTAATACAATTTTATTATTGTACAGAGATATTTTTTTTATAAATTTAATTATATAATTTTTATAATATATAATAATTTTCTAATGATAATTGTAACACAGAAATCAATTAATAATAATTAATTAATGATAATATATTTTGGATCTAATATTTTTATTTTATCTAAGATAATCCTTACTTTTGTATAAAATGTTTATTTCTGTATTATTTCTGTGATATTCATTATCCATAAGTACCTGAAAATAAAAATATTTATTATATAAACAATTTTAACATTAATTGTATCATGCAAAAATATATAAATTTTCTGCTTTCATATTATTTAATAACTAAATGATGATTATATTTGATATATAATAATTACTATTTTTAAATATTTTCTCTTAATTATATCTAAAAATAGCCGTATATATCATATATATTTTTTAAATTAAATGAATATTAATATAATGTAAATAAAAAAATAAAATAATCAATATTATCATAATTTTCAATGTAAATTAGCATAAATCTGTTAATTAACATCTAGTACTTGGACATAGTAAAAGCATATTAAGTAATTTAACGCGAACATAATAATTCACAGCAATCAAAAATGTAATTGTTTAAAATATAAAGAATGTAAGTATATTAATTTTTTTATTTTTTTTATTAAGTTTATTTTATTATTTCCTAAATTTTTCTTCTTTTCTTATATTGAAAAATTTTCTTTTTATTGGAAAAATTAGTTTAATGCATGTTTAAAATATTTTCATAAATTACTGTACAAAATAAATTTCGCATTATTATCAAAATTAATCATATTATAATTTATATTATTTAATCAACTTACCATCTACGCAATATGAACTTTTACACTTTGAAGATTGGATTATATTATATGTTGTATAATAGCAATAAACATGACACTTAGAATTATAAGTATAATTATAACCACAACCGGAACAATCAATTGGTCCAGCTGGATTTGTCCAAGTCTATAACAAATGAAAGAAATTACAAAAAAAAATATAAGTTTTTTTTTTTAAAACAAGTAAATAATTTATTTAACATTGATATCAATTCACAAGATAAATTATTAAATAAGATAAATTATTAAAATTTCTAGGAATAAAAATCTCATTTATAACAAATATAATATTTTGTATTATAATAATGAAATAAATTTTTTATCAATTTTTTAATAATGAAATCCATATATATATATTAAATTATCATAAAAATATTTTAATTAGACTTACTTGAATGCAAGGATATAAATTCCAATATTGACATCCAAAATTGCTTTGACCATACATAAAACTATAAGGATAACATGTTTGTGAAGGACATACTGGTAGAGGCAGAGGTGGTAATGGTGGTAATGGTGGAGGTAGTAGTGGTAATGGAGGTGATGGCAGAGGTGGAAGTAGAGGAGGTGGAGGAGGTGGAGGAG